ATCCAGGTGACCTTTTGGATTTATGACTAAAAGCTCGAAAGTGAATTTCTGTGAACTTTTCATCCAATCAATTCCAGTGGCCAAAAATCACTTTTTGACGCAGTCCATGCCGTTTGTCCACGTACTAGAGGAGAGAATGGGAAAAAACAAAAGTGAATCATACACGTTGTTTTCTTCTTGCAAAATGAGTGTGCCGAATAAATATATGAGTTTTTTTAATTTTATTCCCTCAAAATATGCAAGGTATTATCTATGCATATCTTATTCGCATGATTGTGAAAAATCACTGCCCATTGATTCATAAAAAGATATTATTTGGTAAAAACCAAAGCACTTCACTGAATATAAATACAGAAAGTAGCTTACTTTCAACATTTACAACAACAGCTCCAATATATTCCAGTATTCATCTGCATCGTAAGTATATCTAATTAACTGAAAAAAGCTGTTTTTGGCAATGGTTTTTATGTAATACTTTGCCCCAGAAATTTTGTTCCTCGATCTAGATAAATGTAACACTTGCACTTGAGAAAATCTCATTTCGGAGACGAGTTTTGATTTATCTGATAGAACAATAATTACAATCCAATAAAATTGAGACAGTAGGCAGTATATTCAAGGGGGAAAGGACAGGTTCCAGCACTTTGCACCTTTCCAGCACCTCAGCACTTTTTCAGCAGTTGTTCAGCGCCTTCCCAGCACCTTTCGAGCATTTTTTCAGTATCGGTGTCGGGATGGTGCTGAGTTGGTAGAAAGGTTCTGAGGTGCTGAAAAAGTGCAAGGTGCTGCAACCTACAGTTTTTCCTCTGAGATTTGACATCCTCAACAGCTTGGCACTTTTTTAGCACCTTCTCAGCATCTCAGCATCTCAGCACCTTTCCAGCATCTCAGTACCTTTGCAGCACCTCAGCATCTCAGCACTTCATCACCTTCTCAGCATCTCAGCACCTTTCCAGTACCTCAGCGCGTTCTCAACACCTTTGATAAAAAATTAGTCCCGTGGTGCAGCACTTTCCCCTTGAGTATATTACTAATAGAGAAGGGTAGATGTAAAAAAATTTGATCGCCAACTCGTAAATAATTCTTCTTCTAAAACGTCAATACAGTAAAAGAAACCTCCCTATGTAGTTTTCTGCCTTACTGTACTCTCCAAAAACTAGGAATTCTTCGGAAATTTATTAAAGGACAGTGGACTAAAAAAACTGAGCGGACTGAAAAGAATAAATAAGACAAGGCAACAAAGATATATTGGATGTGAGATTTTTATATGATTTCTAGAACAAGATAATTGTAATATTCTGTGAAACTATGGCAACATCTACTCAGCTTCAATGTGGCGGTCGAACCTGTCCTGAATGTGGAAAATGTAGTGATTGGGTTCCTAATTATGGCAAGAAGTATAAGCGTCGTGATGATGGAACTTGTCGTGATAATACCGATACTCTTTATGATGCTCTTTTTCGTGCTGGGCTTGCTGTTGCTGATGCTCGTCCTTCTGCTCGTAAATCTATTAGAATGCCCCATAATCTTGCTACTGATCGTTGTCGTCGTGCTGTCGATGATGTTAATGCTGCGTTTAATGCTGCTATTGTTGATGATGATCTTCGCGATCTTGTTATTGAGGGCCTTAGTTGTGCTGAAATGGTTGCTTATGATATTGATCGTGCTTGTGATGAGGATGGTCGTACTATTCTTAGAGCTTGTAAAGCTGTTCGAAATGCTCAGGATAATCATGTATGCCATTGTAAAGAAATGGCTGGAAAAGAGGACACTAATCACTCTGACAGTTTGAACTAATATTATCTTCTTTTCTCTTTCCTTTTCTGTTATGTAAAATTTTCTTTTCATTTCTCGAATAAACATCTCAATGAAAGAAGCTAGCTTTGATGTTATGATTGGTCCTCCTCTATATAGTCACTGAAAAAAAACTAACGAGCTTCTAGATTAGATCAATCACTCTTACTCTTGCTATATTAACAATTTCTATTACTTATTATTATTTATAAGTAATAGGTTTTTAACACATTAAGCACAACAAGGAACGCTCGTCCGACGACTCGCTCAGCTCTTTCTCGTAGGTATAGTATCTCGAAGCCATTTGTGACCTTCTTTTATGAATGGATACACAATCAACAAGATAAATGAACACTAGTTTTCAGCACTCTTTTGAAAGACGGAACTGATTCTTGAAACTTTCTCGCTCGTCTCAATCCTGCATAGCTATTCCTCTATAGATAAAAGCATGTTATGGATATGAACAAGCAGCACGAATCGCTGCGATTCGCTTTACCCTCGAGTGTAGAGTTTTGCCGTGTAAAAAGCATATGCTGCATCTCAAACACACTCTCTTTCCTCAAATGATAAAGCGTCAAAATCTAATTCAAAGCGAAAGTCTACTAAATATATCTCAGATATAAAAGGTCACTATAGTTACGAAACTCTTAGTGAAAACATCCTACAAGTATATGATCATAGCTACGTTAGTCGATTAGTCGTAAGCCGAATTCAAACAAAAACCTACTGCGACTAACGCTCTTGAATATTTGCACTGTAATAGTTATCTTTGATGATGGCTGAGCTGCACCATTATGTTATATGACTCAAAAAAAGGTATCCATGAAATCTACCGATTTTCTATGCGAGTACATTTTTGACGTACAATTATACCCGCAGCAGCTCGTCAGTCGTCGGCGTCCCTCCGATTCGCCACCCCCGACTCGCCGCTGCTAACTGATAAGGAAAACTCAATCTGAAGAAACCTAGCTTCGTGATTCCCAGCTTGAAAAACCCTCTAGAACCACTTTTTCTGAGAGCTCAATTCTGATTGGCCAGTCGTCAGCATATGAGAATTCGATGTGATAAGACTCAAACTCGTGATCCCTAGCTTGAGAGACTCTCAAAAACCGTTTTTCCTACAGCTAGATTCTGATTGGCTGGCCACTAACCAATAGGATATCAGCAGCTTTCACACTGAGCAATTGAATTAACTCGAAGGAATAGGATAAGATGTGGTCGCTTTTGAAATTTGTATTCCCTAGACTAAAGTCTAGGGTCTGCAAAACGGTAAAGAAAGCATTTTGTCTGTCTGTCTGCCTGCAACACATTTTAAAAGCCAAGGTATAATTCTGAGTCATTCTTTAGAAAAATCGAGATTTTTTCGAAATTAAAAAACCTTTCCCTCTCTTCTTTTCGAATTGATGATTTTCGCGCCTCTTCTTTTTTCTAGTTTTTGTTACAGTTGACACAATAGATTCGATAGTTTCCTATCCATATTCATCAGCCTGTCAGGCTATATTGAGACGAAGTAGTAAGTAATGGTCTTCAAGACTCACATGGCTAAAAAATTATGTACCGATTTCGTATCTATCCAAGGATCTCGATCTGTTAGATATCCATAAAAAAAAGAGCACTCGTTGCTTTAGACGAGGTTCTCGTGCGCATTATTGAAGCAAGATAGATGCTGTGGGTGGGTAATGACAAGTGCGAAAAGCCGTTTTGAAGTAAGTTCAATGACCGTGACAAATGACTTCTTATCATTTTGTGTTTTCATTCGTTAGTCCAGATAACTAATTAGGTAGAGACTAAGGCAAGTATTTATGTGAGCGTCCAAACTCGGATTCAGGCCAATCTCAGATTAATCTCACACTGGCCTAGACTATTCTAGGATTGACCCGAATCCGAGTTTGGACGCTGACATATACATGGATTCAAGTATCGATGAAGGATAGTGACACATTGTCACGATGACAGCTAATTATGATTAGAATTTCCTGAGTGATTTTTAGGGAAAGACAGATTAATGCTAATTTTGATACGCAATCAGTCTAGGAACGAGTGAATCGCTGGCGATGAACGTTACCTTGTTAAAAAATACAAGCAAAGAAGTAAAAGGATGGAAGAAGAGTGCACTCTATGAAGCATGACTATGAAGTATAGTAAATAGCTTCTACTGTATTTATTTTGTCTTCTATAGTAGGCATACACTCTCAATATTGCTTTTATCGATAAAATGCTCCTCCTGTTGATTTTGATTGTCTCAATATTTATTTATTCCTACGTAAAAATTCAATATTTTACTTTTCGTGATGACATTCCCGGTTTACGACCACATCTTTTCTTTGGAAATCTAATTCAAGCCGGTATGTTATTCAAGGGTGTAACCTTCTCTGAGGCCTATGTAGCATGTAAACGTCGTTTTGGCAATGTCTTCCAATTTTGGCTGGGTGTGACACGTGTGATTGTGATCAGTGGCAGTGGTGATGTGAAACATATTTTTACTCATCGACATATCTACGATCAAGGTGATGCGTTTACCAGAGTATTTAGTATTCTTATTCCGAATGTAACTATTTCTCTCAAAGGTTTGTTTGAATAAGTAAATCGCATAAATAGTCAGATTATCAAAGAATTCTCTAAGTGAGAAATATAGACGACATATGTCGATAACCGGACCTTTATTCCGTTATGCGACAGTCATCTCCAATCTAGATTTAATTGTTGACAACACTGACAAATTATTATCGAAATGGCGTGCTTGTTCATCTAACATAGTTCGTCTCGACATCGTTAAACAATGTCAGAAACTATCACTCAATATTTTCGGGTTTATTGCATTTGATTACGGTTTGAAGACACTTGATGATGATGACGATTTAGTGACGAACGATCTCGCTCGCGCATTGCAAGATATATTAGATATAGTTCAACAAATTCTCCGTGATCCCATTATACTTAGTAAAATCTATTTGCAGTTCAGTCAACGCTACCAACAATCGAAATCAGTCATTGAACAATATTGTAATGAAATAAAAGCACACGAATTGACTGAAAGTCTTGAATCGATTGTCTCACGAAAGAGGACATCGCTGATTGCTTCGCTTCTTTCCTCGTTATCAAATGATGAACAACAAACAGAAACGAAAGAAACTGAAGAAGGAAAAAAGGTGAGTTCATAGATCAGAAAAAAATCATGTATTGAACGAAAAAAACATTCTCTAGGTTTGTCTTGAAGTGAAATATTAGATGAAATGATTTTCTTTCTCATTGCTGGATTCGAAACAGTAGCTACGGCTGTCTCTTGGTTTATCTATCATATGAGTAAACATCCAGAAATACAAGAGCAAAATCAAGGCCTAATTAAACAATGACAATGATGCAATCCAACCCTTATCATTAGAATATCTTGATTCACTCGTCTATGTGGATGCTGTGGTGAATGAAGTTTTACGATATACTCCACCATCGCATGGAACTTTTCGTACATTAACTGCTGATGATCGTTTACCTGAAAGTGGCGTTCAGCTATGCAAAGGTGATCAAGTCTTTATATCCATTAATCATCTTGCACAAGATCCTGAAAATTGGTCGATCGATCCTGAAATATCTTCCTGAAAATCTTCTTCCATCCTTTTACTTCTTTGCTTGTATTTTTTAACAAGGTAACGTTTATCTCGAAGTTTTTCAAAATCTTATAGAAGACTTTTAAAATTGAAGAAAACTAAAGACATAACATACGAATAACGTTTTTCGAGTTTATGGGCAAAGTTAAGAATAAAAATTTTAAAACCAATGCG